TAATAAAAAATTCCGCTAATAATTATCAAAAAATTATCGAAGAATATTTAACTGAAGTAAAGTAGCCAAATAAAGACAAATTAGACTTAAAAATTGCCTTTTGTTAAATAAACGTCACTAAGTGTGTAGAGATATTAAGATTTTTTTGGAAGCAGAAAAGATGAAAAATATGCAACCGCCTTCGCCGGGAATCGAACCACGGACCTCTGGAATACCGGCCCAGCGTGCTACCGTTATACCAAGAAGGCACGCTAGGGAAGTGGGAGAAATACCTTATATACTCCCCTTTTTAAAGGGCGACTAGGGTTTTAGGGGACTTTATCGTCAAATCCTGGGTACGGAGAATCATCATACACACCCCTTTTAGTTCGGGCGCCACTGTAGGATTTTTTTGGAAGCAACAAAGATGAAAATAGTAAACGCCTTCGCCGGGAATCGAACCACGGACCTCTGGAATACCGGCCCAGCGTGCAGAACCACTACACCACGAAGGACGCTAGGAAAGTGTCAGAAATACCTTATATACTCCCCTTTTTAAAGTGAGCCTAGAGATTTAGGGGACCTAGTTGCCAAATTCTGAGTGTGGAGAATCATCATCCACAACCCTTTTAGTTCGGGCGCTACTTGTAGAGACATTAGGATTTTTTTAGAGGCCAGAGAGATGAAAAATTAGCAAATGCCTTCGCCGGGAATCGAACCACGGACCTCTGGAATACCGGCCCAGCGTGCTACCGTTACACCACGAAGGCACGCTAGGGAAGTGGTAGAAATACCTTATAAGTGTGTCGCCAAACTGCTTATTTTTGATTTTAAAAAAGCATTTATAACTAGGCAAAAAGCAACCTTAATCTGGCCTAGATTTTGAATACGTCTATCGATTTGAGGATAATCAGACACACCTCCTCTTCTAGAGGAGAAAACAAAATTCTATAGAATTTTCCCATCTGATCCACAAAAAAAAAAAAAAAAAAAAAAAAAAAAAAAAAAAATATCTGAAAGCTTTTAGATTTTATATTACGCCCAAAGGGGCATTTTAAAATTTTCGACGCAAAATGCCAAAACGAAATCAATATCCCTTCTGGGCTATCGGTCTTTCGGCTAAAAAAAACCTGAAAATTTCTACGCCATACTTAAGTTATTTTTTTTCTGGCCTAAATTTAAATTTTACATTTGCGCGTTCTATTCCAGTTAATAAGTTCCAGCCCTCTGAGTATTAAGATTAGGAACATGGCGTCGGTCAAATAATTCGTAGAAATGTAAACAATTCATAAGCAGATATTTGCATTCTCCAATAAAAATTCTGTGAAACTGCTGACTCATATGTTCCTTGCTGTTATATGAAGTTATTTAAACTTCATTGCTGTTTTGAAGGATATTTTTGTCATCGTTTAACATTATCAAAATAACATGCACAAATGGGATTTCATAAAGCTGCTCATACTGTAGCTTGCTTATATTTTGAGTAATGCATCATATTGTTAGTGCAGTAATTTAATACTTCAAAGCTTATAATATTCAAAAGCAACAAACCTTTCGAGATAAACAGCTGTACTAAATTTAAAATTTTGGTAGTTGTACATTTTGGCTGTGAAAGTGATATAAAAGAAAATGTAGTGTATGTTTAGAAGAGAATAATTAAAATTTAAAACGAATTCTCACTCGAATTTCTGACATTTTCTGTGAGCCATAAAATTTCATATAGAACGAAGATAAAATAAATTTTAAAACCGTCTCTGGAAATAATTTCTTTTTAGACAATGGCAGTGCCAGCTTATAATTTTTCACGCCTGCCTAAAATAATTATTAACTCAGTTTTAAAATCTACGGAAGATGTGTATTACATAGGTAATAAACGTTTTAGCTCTCATTTCTTTCTGCGTCAGTAGCAAGAAATATTACTCCATGCACTCTTAATTAAATTTAGTGCTTAAAAATAAAGTTTAATTGCAAATTGTCTGTGTTTATAATTCTGCCGGTTAGAAGTGCGGTAAGAATATAAATATCACGTATATATTTTAAAGGCAAAATATCTGCTACAATCCATTTACTCGAAAATATGGGTTTTTGCCTCAAACTTTTGAACTCACATTTATTTTCTGGAAGTAGCTTAACTTCCTTAAATGTAAGCAAGTAAATAAATTAAGTCCTGTCGTAAGTTTATTTTAAGCAACATCCTTGTTTAAAATTCATCCACCTGCTTTAATTAAAGAAATCTCTTTCTCCATTATTATTATTCTATTTAAGTAGGATACTTAAGATAATTAAAATTATTGAAAAACTGCACTTCTAATACTTTTGAAATCTGAGTGGAAGCTGTCGACGCAGTTTAAGTGATATTTTATAGTAATGTTTGTAAGACAATTACGAATATTGCTGTAAGAGAAGTATACTGTTGTGGAATTTCATTTTAAATTCCGCATTAAATTGGTTTTAATTTTACAGAAATGTTTTACGAATTTCAGAAGACTATAAGACGGCTTTCTGCATTTCTAGCAGCAATATCATTTGCAAGCAGCAATATTTCCATTACAAGCATCTTTAACCCGGTGGAAGTCGCACCAAGAAAAGTTACTAGAGTGAACGCGTGGGGTATCACATATTCCAATACTTAAAATACAATAAAAATAGATGTGTTAAAGTTTCTTGTTGGTTTATTAGCAGTTGAATGTAATATAATTCAAGCATTTATTACAGCAACATTCAGTGCAGGAAAGAAAATTACCATTGGCCACCTTCTCGTTATTCTGGCAATTGAATAATTGGCTAACATTTCATCCCCCATATCCACTGCTCCTTTAGTCATATTATTAAAATATATAATTCCTGACGTTTTATTTTCTCCAATAGTATCATCTATAGTATGATCGTTATATAATGTTGAAAGCATAAGAACAGTTTTTCCTTTTTTTAGGAACATCAGGAATTAACGTTTTATCTTTTTCGAAACCAAAGCATTGTAGAAAATATTCTTAGTTTCATCTCCAGTTTCCGAAATGCAATGTTCATCGCTTTCAAATATTTCTAATAAATCTCACAGGCGTTGCATCTCCAGTTCATAGGGACTCATTCTTTTTACCATAATGCAGTTAGAAATTTTCAAGAATTTAATGTCAAGTACTTTAAAATCACTTGCGAGTAGAAATATTTACTGTTACACTCTAGAAATAAATTTCTGAACTAAATATTCCGTCAGAAAAACACTTACACGTACAGGCGCGTGGGGTGTGTCATACCCCAGTTCCAACAAAATACCGATAAATCTTTTTCTGAAACACACAGGCAAAGAAAAAGCGGTTCTGAAAGTCAACCACAACTAGAAACTCAGCTACTGAAAGCAGCACAGAATCTCAGTTTCATAAGTTAGGAATATTCCACTTTTATGTAGGGTTGGGATATTATGCACCCCACGCGCCTTCCCGCGGGTTAAGCTAAATAAGGTCACTTAAATAAATATGAACAACTGTGGGGTCATTTAGTGAGCTAAGTAGAAAGAGAACGAGGAAACATATTCTTCGCTAAATCCTTTAATAAGTTAAGATTGGAAATAAAATTGCAGAGTCGAAGCAGGAAATGGGAAAAATGTACAATGCCCTCGCCGGGACTCGAACCTTGACCCGTCGAATACGCGCCAAGTTTGTTACCATTAGACCACGAAGGCAAGCTAGAAGTAGGGAGAAAATATGCGCTGTTGTTACCGAAACAACATGCTAGAAGGAAGGAGAAAATACCTTATAAAATAATAAAATCCATGGAACGCTTTAAGAAAATGTCTTAATTAACAAAAAGTATTGTTATGATTTTTGTGTACATATAAATAATTTTCGTGAAATAATATGTGAAATTATAGTATGTTTTGTATGATGTAACATAAAGTAATTGAAAGAGACGAGATGTGTTGGAGAAAACAAGATTACAGCGGTAAGTCTACTTATTTGGTGAACATTTGGCGAACATATCTCGCTAAACTGCCGAAATATTACCAAGCTGACGATGGTTTTGGCGACTAATTTAATCACCAAAAGGTGCTAAATTTGCGACTATTTGGCAACATTTTTGGTCCGGTCACAGTGTAACTGTAATCGGTGCTGCGATTGAATAAATGTAACTGATCCCTATATGTAACTTTAACCGTATCTGGTTCTCATATACCTTTTAGTAATTTCCAAAAGTGGAAGATACTAGAGATTTCTCGGCAGGCGGGTGAAAATAACGTAAGAGTGTAATATCTATCTAAGTATCTATCTAAGTATCTCAGTTGTTTAGTCCAGAGGGAGTTCTGAGTGTTGAGAGATCTCCGTCGGAGCTTTACCTTTGTACTGTATGATATTGTACTGATTATACTGTATGATACTGAGAAGAATTGTACCAGTGCGTTTATGGAAAGCTCCAGCAATGTAAAATGCTTCTTTTGGTAAAAATAAATTTTATCAAGCTGTCATCAGTTCTGTGTGCATTCAATCTATTTCGAACCCGTTAGCACGCAGCAATATTTTTCTACATAATTTTATTAGATTGTGTGTATAAGGTATAGTGTCGATAGTAATTGTGTGTATAAGGTATACTGTCGATAGTAATTGTGTGTATAAGGTATAGTGTCCATAGTAATTGTGTGTATAAGGTATAGTGTCCATAGTAATTGTGTGTATAAGGTATACTGTCGATAGTAATTGTGTGTATAAGGTATAGTGTCCATAGTAATTATGTGTATAAGGTATAGTGTCCATAGTAATTGTGTGTATAAGGTATAGTGTCCATAGTAATCGTATCTACCTATCAGATGCATTGAAAGCAAACTAGTGACAATAACTCTCCCCTCCCTTCTGGCTGCTGCATTTTGGAATCTGGGGGGGGGGATCTCTCTGGAACCTCAACTCCAAGCTGTTCCGGAGGATATGATGTCACAAAAAAAAAAAAAAAAAACAGACATGTATGTGCAAATTTTAATAGTATCGGTGGCTGCAAAAATTATAAAAACCTTTCACCATAGTTCGTTTAGAAAGATGATGGATCCTCTCATCAAGATGCGGTAAGTGCTAAATCATCCCTTATAAAGTGACGACATGAAATGTGTTGCTCAGCATAAATAATTGTATTTTAGAGACATTATGTATTTTTTGAAAGAAGGAAAAGTGAAAAATGAGCATTGTCCTGGACCGTACCTCGGACCTTTCGAATCCGCGCCGAGTGTGCTGACCATTATACCACGAAGGCATGCTAAGAAAGCGAAAGAAATACCTTATAATGTCATTCAGCAGGGAATCGCATTACAAACTGTATTTTTTGAAAGCAGGAAAAGTGAAAAATGAGCATTGTCCTGGACCGTACCATGGACCTCTCCAATCCGCGCCGAGTGTGCTGACCATTATACCACGAAGGCATGCTAAGAAAGCGAAAGAAATACCTTATAATGTCATTCAGCAGAGAATCGCATACAAACATGAAATATTTCATCATCTGAAGCTTGAGAAGATGATAAAAACCTTTTGATCACCATCTATAGAATTACAGTGATTACAGAGTAAAGCCCAAAACGAATAAAAATAATATGAAATATTTTTGTATGTATCCTTAGCACAACTCATGCGGACTGCGGGGGGAGGAGACACATTATCGAAACAACAAAACATTCCACAGAAATGATTAAAGCAAAATTACACCCAAATTTGCAATATGTATACAACCCCACCGTTGACAAAAACCTTCAGAAACATTAAATCGTTTCCACTACTGTGAACCAGAGTTTAGTCGTTTCATTTTTATAGCAGAACGCACTTTTTCTCCTTCTTTTTTTAATTTCCTCTTAATCCCTTTAAGTTGGTGCGCCTGCCTGCGTTTCAGAGGCTAAAGTTAATCAAAGAGAGACATTTAAACTATCGGTTAATGAAAAACTAAGCTTTACCTCTGACGGCTGAAATCAGGTTAATGCCCCTTATTGCGCTTACCTGCAGGAAGTTATGAAAGACGAGCAGAACTAATTTATGAGGTGATAGCCGTAAAATGCGATAAGATGGTGAATCACATTACGCCGTAAATGGCCTGGACTTAGAATCAAGAATCTAATTTTACGCCGAATTGAGGAGGAAAAGAATTTGATCGAATTTAGGAAAATAATCGAGTGACTGTTCGTCGTGGTCTTAAAACTAGTTTTCCAAGATTTAATGTTGCGACATATAGCCAGGAAAGTACATTTCTGTGTAGTTATTATCTGATAACTTATTCATGTTATCTAAGGACTAGTTCAAAGAATATGACGAATTATATAGGGTACTTATTTCTTCATTCAGTGGGTTTCTTACCTATATTTTCATTCTAAACTATGTTTCTTATTTTATAAGGTATTTCTCCCACTTTCCTAGAGTCCTTCGGTGTAGTGGTTTTGCACCCTTTATCGGTATTTCAGAGGTCCGTGGTTCGATTCCCGGCGAAGGCGGTTGCATATGTTTCATCTCTCTGGCTTTTAAAGAATACCTAATGTCCTCTACAAGTGGCGCCCAAACTAAAAGGGTTGTGGATGATGATTATCCGCACCCAGAATTTGGCGACTAGGTCCCCTAAAACCCTAGTCACCCTTTTAAAAGGGGAGTATATAAGGTATTTCTCCCACTTTCCTAGTGTCCTTTATGGTGTAGTGGCCCTGCACGCTGGGCCGGTATTTCAGAGGTCCGCGGTTCGATTCCCGGCGAAGGCGGTTGCATATTTTTCATCTCTCTGGCTTCCAAAAATCCTAATGTCTCTACAATTTCATTTTTGTAAGATGAATGGTAATAAAGTAACGTAAATTATAATACTTACAGTAAAGTAAAGTAAATTATAATACTTACAACGTAAATTATAGTACTTAGAAAGTAACGTAAATTATAATACTTACAACGTAAATTATACTTACAAAGTAAAGTAACGTAAATTATAATACTTACAACACGAGTACAAATACGCCTTATTTTATGTTCTAAACTATATGTCTTTGAATGTAAAATATTTTAATCCATTATTAAAAACATTTGCAGGTCTTTGGAACGTACTATGCAAAATAAAATGTGAAAGCTTTTAGATTTTATAATACGCCCAAACGGACTTTTATTTCGTTTACAAAAGCATTCACGTTTCAAGAGCATTTGGGCTAACACAACTGTGGGCTAAAAATATCTAAAAACAGCATACCTTTAGAAGCTGCAGTAGATAATCTCGCGCTCTGGAGATAAAAATGTTTTATTCCCTGCAGAGTTGCCTGTGTTCGCTTTGAAATCGTTGATTTCTTTTTCACCAAAAATTTGTTAATGTTTTATAGAGTATGAATTAGACAATGAAAAAAACTCGAAATGCAAAATTAGCGCTTCAAGGTGCCCGTGATCGGATGGAGCACTATGTTATTCAAACTTTGATGACTGTAAGTACCGTTGTTTTCTCACAGTGCGAGAAGCATACACACATTCGTGCAGACTCTTCACTATTTTGTTTCTCTAAAGATAATACAGTTGTTTTTTTAAATATATATATTTGGAGGCAAAATTTGGAATAGAGACATCGCATTTAAGTGATTCTACGCAAAATGCCGTTTCAAGATTAACAGCTCTTCTAGGCTAACGCTCCTTTGGACTTAAAACCTTGTAAAATTACGCAGTTTTAGCTCAATGCATTAAAATTTAAAAAATAGCTTTTAATTATCATAATATTGTGTCTTTTGAACATACGGCAAAATAAAATATATAAAAACCCTACGTGCAAAAGGGTCTTTTGCTTAGTGCTTTTTGTACTTAGACAGCTGATGAAGTTAGTCCATCGAAACTAGTCCTGCAAAATTTGCAAACATTACGCTGATTCGTGTTGGTCAAGCTCTCCAATAATCGTTATTCGGCGTGTTATTTTAAACTAAATTACATAAAAATTTTAAATTACACAGTTTTAGCTCAATGCATTAAAATTCAAAAAATAATTTTTTAACAATCATAATATTCTTGACCTTGATTGGCGACATGAGATCAAAATCGTAGGACAGATTTTAAATTGATAGATAGATTGGAACGATTATCCTACTAAATTACGGATCCTATTAAATTATACACATTTTTTGCTGCATTTCATTTAAACTTGTTTCCACGAATTTCATTAGAGATATATTTATTTTTCATTCAGCTAATTCAGTTGTCACTTCGCGTCAAGGCAAAAATGCATTAAAATGCAAAAAATCTTTATTAAAAATTGTAAAATACATAAAAACATAAAACACCAAATACGGTTAAAACAGTTAATGAAACAGTTTTTACAATTAAAATTAGAGTTTCTACGCAAAAAAGAGCAATTCGGACAGCAAGAAGGCAGATTTTTCGATGCCCAGAACTGAAAGTTTATGTTTGGTCCTACTCGGCAAAAAGGCATTGAGTGTGCAGAACCTGACTTAATTCACTATTCTGCAAAGTTTCAAATAAATATGGTTGTTCTCTTAGGCTTAATCGCACTTAAATAACATTTAAATTGTTGATATTTCTACAGCTATTATATGAACTCTCAAACAAAAAGGCTTTTGGACTGAAATGCTGAAAAATTCAATAGGACTCTAAAAATTAAAAATTTATTTTAAAAAATTGATATTTATAAATTATACTTTACAGGATCAAAATTTTATGATTTATTTTTGATTTGCTAGTATTTTAAAGCTTTTTCCTTTAAAAAGGCTTCGCTTTCGCTACGTCTTTTTCTTCTTGAAGGGGGGATATGTAAGAAAAATAAAGAAAATGTAAAAGATTAAACTAGCAGCGTAAATTAATTTCCCTTCTAAAAATAGGAATATCTATTTGTGCGTCATTTCGAGAAAAATCTATGTCATATGACTCTTACGTAATTCTGGTCATGTAAATTGAACTAAAACTCAAGCAGTCAATAATAATTTTACAGCAGTATTAACTATCCAATCAAAATGCTTTGAGAACCAAAACGAGCTCAGTTTGACTTCAGATTTCATCCTGAACATTACGCACTTGCATTCTACGCTTTGCCTTAGCTGGACTGCAGTCTGTCTGCTTCTTCTTTTTTGCTGCCCACTAGCGGCCGAGCGGTAACGTCGCTGAACACTGGTAGTTCGGTCCGAGGTTCGAATCCCGCGAACGTACTGGCTGCATGGGTGTTTTCTTGGTTTTCCCCATGTGTAACGTGTATACGAGCCAGTTTCCCTTAGAAAGTCCTCCACAAAGGCATTCCTCCCCCTTACGCAGATAGCCCTAGTGAGCTTTGCCATAATTAAATACACACACACACTTCTTTTTTGCTGCAAATCTATCAAAAATGTAAGCCTTTTGGAATAGGCACATTTAATGTGCCGACTTATGTGTAGCCGCAACATGTTGCTGAAAATAAAACTGAAGATTGAAGATTTAATCTGCCTTCGCCTCTAATTATCTAGTCATTATGGATCAACACTTCTAGGCCATCAAAATTCTTCACTCCAGCTCCTGAATATATTACGTATATATATGTAATAATAAAATTCCCTAGTCAAGAATACAATTAAAATTCTAACTGTATGTTCTTTTCATTTTTAATGGAGACGTTCTCTTATTTGAAAGTACGTGGAATTAAATCCACAGCCCCGTAGTCAAATTGTTTTTCCCGCCTTTTCTACACGTACAGTTATTGAATGTTCTCGAGATATTTAAAGCGAACTGGATTGGCTGACGATGCTGACGTCATTTCTTGGAAGCTCCGCCTTTCCAGAGACTATAAAAAGACTCGCAAAAGGAATATCGGGACTTTTTCTTAAATGTCACGATGCAGTAAACTTCATACAAAAAGTTATTAGTAATTCTTTTTATTTACTCCGGATATCTGATTTTTGTAACTGCTATTTCTCCTGAATAATAATAAATGGATCCTGTTTTTTAAAACTATCGTCTGATAATTTAAGCTACGACTACATTGATGATTCTTCAACAATCTATTTATTTCTGACAAAAGCTGGTACATCACATATATATGTACTTTTGGTGCGTTCAATGTGAACCAAAAAACGGAGGTACACAAATAAATGTTATA